TTCTGGAGCTCATGGACGAGAGGGGCGCGAAGAAGAAGCTGAAGGCCAAGCTCGAGAAGCCGAAGGCGAAAGTGGAGGAGGGCGGCGGCGAAGGCTAAGGCGGAGGAGGCGACGGCGGACGCGAAGATGGATGGGCAGCCGGAGGCGAAGCCGAAGGCGAAGGCGAAGGTGCAGACGGAGGAGAAGGCGACTGCGAAGAGGAAGGCGGACGCAGCGACTGGAAGCGCTTCGAAGACTGAAGTGGCGTCGGAGGATGAAGGCGAGACGGTCGCAACTCCAGGGGAGTCCGTGTAGAGTAATAATAACATGCACACACCTGCCAAGTCGCTCAAGCACCATACGCCTGCTAAGCCGAGTCTGGAGACCAGCAAGGCGCGGTTCGACGTGGAGCACTCGCGCGAGAACGTGCAAGTGCGGATTCCGAAAAAGATGGGTTCGAGGACCCGTCCGAAGGCATTGTTTGGAGGATGTCTCGAGCGAAACGCTGATTGTTCAACGTAAATGTTAAAAACACGTGGTTTTCTGCAATCTGTTCGCTTCTTGGGCCATCTTGGGGGCCCTCCGAGATCGCTCCGAAAAGACACAAAAGACGCCTTAAGATACGACCCCCAACTTCTCGATGCTGTGAGGATGTATCAAGCGAAACGCTCATTTTGGGAACCTCTCCGGACAAGAACGGGAAGCACCGCTTCTCTTAGCTTGCGTTCGTAGGCACACGGATTCCCACGGAATGCGTCCCGACATCGCTGTGTAAGTATTCCGTGGCTCCCGAAATCGCCATATAAGTACCCCGTGGACCCCGACATCGCTATATGAGTATTCCGTTGGTCCCGAAGTGGCTATATAATATTTTTGTGGGTCCCGAAATCGCTATATAAGTATTGCGTGGACCCCGACGTCGCTATATAAATATTCCGTTGGTCCCGAAGTCGCTATATAAGTATTCCGTGGGTCCCGCAATCGCTATATAAGTATTGCGTGGACCCCGAATTCGCTATATGAGTATTCCGTTGGTCCCGAAGCCGCTATATAAGTATTCTGTGGGTCCCGAAATCGCTACATAAGTATTGCGTGGACCCCGAAAAGGAAGAGGAGGAGGAGGAGGAGGAGGAAAAGGAGGACGAATAATCGCTATATATGTACTGCGTGGACCCCGAAATCGCCGAATAAGTATGTCGTTGGTCCCGAAGTCGCTATATAAGTATTCGGTGGGTCCCGAAATCCCTATATAAGTATTGCGTGGGCCCCGAGGAGGAGGAGGAGGAGGAGGAGACCAGATGGCTTCGAGGACCCGTTCGAAGGCATTTGTTGGAGGACGTCTCGAGCGAACCGCTGATTTTTCACGGTTATATATATATACATACATACATACATACATACGTACATACATAAGAAAAAAACGCGTGTGTTTCAACATTGTCGCTTCTCGATGGCATGTGTTGGAGGATTTCCTTGGCGAAACGCTGGCTTTTCAACGGGAATGATAAAAACATGTTGGTGTTTCAATAGTTTCGCTTCTTGGGGCATCTTGGGGGTCATCCGAGATCGCTCCGAAAAGATGCCTTACAAGAGCTCTGTCGGCATCACATTTGTTCGAGGATGTCTCGGGCGAAACGCCCATTTTCGAGGAACCGAAAATTAGGCGAACGATTTCAAGATTCCAATGTTTGGAGGATGTTTCGAGCGAAACGCCTATGTTTAGCAAACCGGTAGCCTACAACATCTCCATGTTCTGAGGTTGTCTCGAGCGAAACGGCCGTTTTAGGGGGAACTTACCCGGACAAGAACGGGAAGCGCGTTTTCTCTTAGTTTGCGTGCGCAGGCACACAATTCCCACGTAAAGCGGAATGCGTCCCGAAATCGTTGTCTAAGTATTGCGTGGACTCCGAAATCGCTATATAAGTATTCCGTTGGTCACGAAGTCGATATATAAGTATTCTGTGGGTCCCGAAATCGCTACATAAGTATTGCGTGGACCCCGAAATCGCTGTGTATATATATATATATATATATATATATATAGATATCCCGCTGGTCCCGAAGTCGCTATATAAGCATTCCGTGGGTCCCGCAATCGCTATATAAGTATTGCGTGGACCCCGAAATCGCTATATAAGTACTGCGTGGACCCCGACCCGCCGCGAGGAGGAGGAGGAGGAGGAGGTGGAGATTCAAGAACAGGAGGAGGAAGAGGAGGAGAAGAAGGAGGAGGAGAAGGAAAAGGAGAAGGAGAAGGAGGAAGAGGAGGAGGAGGAGCAGGAGGTAGAGGAGGAGGGGCTTCGAGGACCCGTCCGAAGGCATTGTTTGGAGGATGTCTCGAGCGAAACGCTGATTTGCGAACGAAAATGTTAACAACACTGGTTTTTTCCAATATTGTCGCTTCTTGGGCCATCTTGGCGGTCATCCGAGATCGCTCCGAAAAGATGCCTTACAAGAGCTCCGTCGGCATCTCATTTGCTCGAGGATGTCTCGGGCGAAACATCATTTTCGAGGATCCGACAATCAGGCGAGCGATTTCGAGATCCCGATGTTTGAAGGATGTCTCAGGCGAAACGCCCATGTTTAGCAAAAGATGCCTTACAAGAGCTCATCGCATTGTTTCGAGGATGTCTCTGGCGAAACGTCCATTTTCGAGGATCCGAAGATTAGGCGAGCGAGTTCGAGATCCCCATTTGGGGAGGATGTCTCGAGCGAAATGCCCATGTTTAGCAAAACGATAGCCTCCAACATTTCCATTGTCGGAGGATGTCTCGAGCGAAACGGCCGTTTTAGGGGGAACCCGCCAAGCAAAAAATATTTGCAGCCGGGCGGCCATGGTCCTTCGCGTCTTAGTTTTTTATCTATTCTTAGGAAGCTTGGCCTAACAAACTGCCAGCGCCTTCTCGTTCCGAGAAGGCGCTTCCCGTAATCCGCCAAGCGAAAAATATTTGCAGCGGGGCGGCCATGGTCCCTCGGGCCTTAGTTCTCTATTCATTATTAGAAAGCTTGGCCTAACAAACTGCCAGCACCTTCTCGTTCCGAGAAGGCGCTTCCCGTAATCCGCCAGGTCCTGCACCACGAGGGGGCGCCGCGCGTTCCCCTCCCAGACCCCTCCCAGATGGTATTGCCTCTGGCCGAGAGAACGTCCATCGCGCGACTCTTCGAGTCTTAGCGCGCTTCCCCTCATTCGCCAGGTCCTCGACCACGAGTGCCTCCCGCGCGTTCCCCCCCCAGACCCCCCCTTCACAAACAATCCCTCTGGGCGCACAGACGTCCATCGCGCGACTTTTCGAGTCTAAGCGCGCTTCCCGTCACCTGGGCACCCGGGCCCGCCCTGGCTGCGTTGCTGCCTGCTTCCTGGGCCGCTGCATGGCGGACTGGAGGGTATTCGCGGACGCGTGGCGGGGGCGCGCGATGGACGTTCTCCCTGCCACCATCGTTTTGTCGGGCCGGTGGGGCGCCCCGTTGTGGGAACAGACCGAGTCCATGTTACAGCACCTCTTGGCCGTCGACACTGCTGCGGTCAAGGCGCCCAGCGCGTGTCTGCAGCGTCGCCGGCGGCAAGCCCTGCAAGCTGCCAGCGCCGCGGCATGCCGCAAGCTGCGCGGCGGCGGCGGCCGCCGCGCGCAAGCCCCGCCTGCAGCTGCCCAGCAGTTATGTCCCGAGAGTTTCGATGCCACGATGCGTCCACGCCTCCGTGTTTGGTGGCCTGCCCGGGCGGTCCCCTTTGACAACCGCCAGAGGTGGTTGCATCTCAAAGCCCAGCTGGCCGTCGCCGCCCAAGGCACTTGCTGGGCGACCGTCCGCACTCTCGCAGGCGCCTGGCCCACTTCATACCGCATGCACGTGGGACATCCCCGACTGCCGTGCCGGTGGCAATGTGAGGACGGCTCTGACCAGATATCACACTACTTGGAGTGCCGTGGAGCCTGGTGGTGCGCGTGTGTGGCCTCGCGCACCATTCTACACGCAAGCACCCTGCATCGTCTCGGGCTGGGCACGCAGGAGGACTACGACGACGACCCGCAGGACGAAAGCGGCCTGCCCCGCACGGTCGCTCGGCTGGCCACGTTGTACCATAGCTACAACCTGCTACGACACCGTCCAGGGCCGCTGCAGCTGGGCCATGTGGTGACAGAGGCGCTGGCGCGCGCTGCCGCCCACTGCGCCCACGTCCCATCGATCTGTCGGGATCCGTAACCCATTGGGTTGGTGACCTACGCGGGCGGCCCCGCAGCACTGGAAGGTCACCGACCCCAGCGTGCGCTGCCCGGCACGCCCAACGGCGCCCATTCCACATGGCGCAGGGGCGGGGGTCTACAGACCGTGCCGACGAGTACTGCATCTTCAATGCCTTTGAGCGGGCCCGCATCGCCCGGTGGTCCGAGGCGCTAATTTCGCTCCACTCTGCTACGGGCGCTCCTCCTCCTCCTCCTCCTCCTCCTCCTCCTCCTCCTCCTCCTAATCCTAATCCTAATCCTAATCCTCCTCCTCCTCCTTCTCCTACTCCTCCTCCTTCTCTTCCTCGTCCTCCTCCTCCTCCTCCTAATCCTCCTCCTCGTCCTCCTCCTCCTCCTCTTCCTCGTCCTCCTCCTCCTCGTCTTCGTCCTCCTCCTCGTCCTCCTCCTCCTCCTCTCTTCGTCCTCTTCTTCCTCCTCCTCCTCCTCCTCCTCCTCCTCCTCCTCCTCATACTCCTCATACTCCTCCTCCTCCTCTTCCTCGTCCTCGTCTTCGTCTTCCTCCTCCCTTTCCTCCTCCCCCTCCTACTCCTCGTCCTCCTCCTCCTCCTCCTCCTCTCCTCCTCCTCGTCCTCGTCTTCGTCGTCCTCCTCCTCCTCCTCCCCCCATTCCTCCTCCTCCTCCTTTTCCTCCTCCTCCTCCTCCGTCTCCTCCTCCTCCTCCTCCTTCTCCTCCTCCTTTTCCTCCTCCACCTCCTCCTCTTCCTCCTCGTTTTCGTCGTCCTCCTCCTCCTCCTCCTCCTACTCCTCCTCCACCTCCTCCTCCTCCTCCCGCCCCGCCGAGGTTCGGGCTTCGACGATGGGGCCGCCGCCTCGGGGGCCCTGGCGCCGCGCGCCGCGGCAGCGGCGTTGCTCCTGCCGCCGCCGCTGCCGGCCGCCGGTGGTGCCGTCGCCGATCTACCTTCCTCCCTGGCGCGCGAAGCTCCCCGAAGCCAATCTTCGCTGCCTTGAGCCGGGGGCGAAACTGGCGGAACGAGAAAGTGCGGAGGGCAAGCGCGAGGAGGCAGGCGAGAGCGCCAGGGGCGAGCATGAAGGTGCGGAGCGCGCTAGGGGCAGAATCCAGGGCCGATCCAAGAAATCCGCGCGGACCACCGAAAGTCTGTGTTTATGCAGTTCTGCTCCGCTATCGACAACCGACGCTGGAGGACCGAGGTTTTCGAGTGCGGCGCCGTCGTCGAGGACGATGCACGATGGAGGATCGAGGTGTTCGAGCGCTTCACGTCCAGTTATGGGCGTTGGGTGTTGGGGGGCCGCGGCGCCGTCGTCGAGGACGATCCGCGACGGAGGATCGAGGTTGTCGAGTGCTTCTAGTTTGGTTCGGGGGGAGGGGCGGCGGCGTCGTCGTAGAGGACGATCCACGATGGAGGATCCAGGTTTTCCGGTGCGTCTCGTCGGTTTGAGGAGAAGGGCGGCGGCGGCGGCGGCGGCATCGAGGACGATCCACCGTTGAAGATCGAGGTTGTTTGTTTGATGCTTGTCGACGGGTCGGGGGTGGCGAGGGGCGCGGCGTCGTTGTCATCGACGATCCGCAACGGAGGTTCGAGGTTTTCGAGCGCTCGCGTCGGTTTGAGGCGGTGGGGGGGGGGCGCGGCGTCGTCATCGAGGACGATCGACGACGGAAGATCCAGGTTTTTGAGCGCGTCTCGTCGGTTTGTGAGGGGGCGGAAGCGGCGGCGTCGTCGAGGACGAGCCACGACGATGGAGGACTGAGGTTTTCGATTGCGTCTCGTCGGGTTAGCAGGGTGGGGGGCGCGGCGCAGTCGTCGAGGACGATCCACGACGGAGGATCGGAGTGTTCGAGTGTTTCTTGTCGGTTTGGGGGGGACGGCGGCGTCGTCGTCGTCGACGATCCACGGTTGAGGATCGAGATTTTCGAGTGTTTCTCGTCGGTTTGTTGTGGGGGCATTATGGGGGGCTCTGGAGGGCCCTGGGTCGGAGGGTAGAGGCGTCGGCGGCAGTGCCATGCGAGACGGCCAGGAGGTAGGGGGGCGTCCGACGCAGAGTCATCCTCAATCGATCGGAGCGTCTACAAGCGGGAAGTGGCGAAAGATTGCCCCAAACACCCCTCTTCCTACAGACAGTCAGGTACAGTGTCCAACAAGCATCGGGTCCGCATAGGATCCGTGGCGGATCCGTGGCCAGATCCGACGCCCGAGGCGAGGTTAACATCCCCGAATAGGGGCCCTCTTCAATGTCCTCGGGGGCCCCTTTCTTTCGTTTTCGGGTGCCCGATGTTGCGCCCATCGCCCGCGACCTGCCGCCAAACCCTCTTTCCCCGGGCTGGCTGGCCCGACGGCCCTTGGACTGGTTGGACCGACAGTCTGGCAATGTCGTGCGATTTGAGATGTCGTGCCGAGTTGTCAAATCGCACAAATTTGCTTTACTATCTGTAGTCGTCACCTCTATCATCCTCTTCCTCCTCATCATCCGTGTCCTCTTTCTCCTCCTCCTCCTCCTCCTTTTCCTCCTCCTCCTCCCTCCTCCTGCCCCTCCTCCTCCTCCTCCTCCTCCTCCTCCTCCTCCTCCTCCTCCTCCTCCTCCTCCTCCTCCTCCTCCTCCTCCTCCTCCTCCTCCTCCTCCCCCTTCCGTCGCCATTTTGGCTAAAGTCACCATGTCGCGTTGCGCCCGCATGGAGACCTCTGAGCCGAGGCCAGTCGCCAACTGCTTCCAGCCACAACCAGGGGTGAGCTGGCACCCAAGCTTTCTGCCGCCACTTCCAGGGGCTTGCGGCCGCCCGCTCCTGCTCACTGTTCTGGCACTGCAGGCTGCCATCCATATCGCGCTGTCGTGCGGCCCGACTTCCGTCGCCGCGAGCCAGCTGGACTTCGGCTCGACTCACGTCGCCGTCTTCCGCCTCCATAACCCGCTGGACGTCGACCCGCTCGTTCCCCAGCAACAGCAGCAGCAGCCGCCACGTGGTGGCACCGCGAAGGCCCTGGAGCCTGGCGTCCTCACCTTCAACTTCCTGAAGCAGAACAGCAGCCTGTCCGACAGCAGCCCACAGTCGCAGCCATGTCATATTCCAGCGAAGAACGCTCTACCTCTCGCAGCGCCCCATCTGCCAGCCGCAGAAGGACAGATCGCCGAAGAGAACGCGAACGTCACGACCAAGATCGCGCTGCTCGAGGTTACCCAGATCGTGCTGATAAAAGTGGTCGTGCAGCTGCAGCGCGCGCCACCCTGGACTCGCTCGGCGACGCTGGCCCCGCTACCCAAGCTGCGCCGCGCTCGGGGCGCGCATCTGGACACGCCGCTCGCTCGTGTCGATCGTCAGCTCGTACGCACCAGCAGCCGCCCCACTTCGCCATGGACGCTGGAGAAGAAGAAGCCGCAGACTCAGCACGTGCCGCCGCCGCCGCCACAGCACGCCAATTTCAAACAGGGGAGTGGACAGAGCCGCCGTCTCAGCTACATGGTGAAGCACTACGTCATGACCCACTCGCTGCTGCTGACCCATGGCGCGCTGGAGATGCAGCAGCCGCTGGAGGAGCTGCCGCCGTCGGAACCACCGCCGATACCGAGACTGCCACTCCAGGCGAACTTGCTCGCCTACCAGGTCTGGATCCAGAACTCGACAAAGCTCTTCAAGATCTCACGCAAGCTCACGTTGCACACGCCGCCAGCACGTCCCAAGCTCAAGCCAACCAATTGCTCAATGGGTCGCGCGAAAGCTTTCGCCAACTTCTCGCACAGCAAGTCCAAGCTACTGAACGCCGAGTTGACACCCTTCATGATGTCATCGCCCGCACTCGCAGGGAACAAGACCGCCAAGCAGACGAACAGAAAAAGATGTGGCAGCAGATCGACCAGATGCGAGAGACCCTCGCTCTCGCCGCGGCCCAGGTGCCGATCACGGACCTCACCAGGCTCGCCGACTGGGACCGCGAGATCGACCCCGCGATCTTCACTGTCGGGGCGCAGAGGCTCATCGCGCCCGACGCGCTCCTCAACGACCTGCAGGAGTGGATCGCCTCCGCCAACCTGGGCCCCGACGCCGTCGAACTTCGCGGTGACGAACTTGCGCGCAGATTCGTGCTCCAAGTCAAAGGTGGACGCGACGTGGTCATCCCGCGCGCACTGGCTCTCACCCGAGCCCTACGCGACGCTGGAGGCAAATGGAAGCGCTTCACCTCCGTCGACACATCGGGCACGCCGACGGACATCTACCTCAACCCCGACAAGTCGCCAAAGCAGATCCGCACCGAGATCCAATGCAAGAAACTTCGCCAGCCCCTTCAGCACCGTCATCCTCAAAAGTCATGGAGGGCATACCGAGCTAAAGGTGGGGCCCACTGCAACGCCATGCCCGTCGCGCGCCTGGGCGTCAAGGGACAAGCCGACCCTGCCATCCTTGAGTGGAACGAGAAGGCGTTCGAGCTCGCCACCTCCCGCGACATCGATCGCGGCGCCATCCTCACGTCGTTCCAGGCGCTCTTCGCGGACACAGCGGAGACCACGTGGCGGGTTTAGCCACCCTTGGGCGCCGTGGAAGCCTGTCGAGGACGATCGGCCCAGCTTTTTTCATCGCGTGGAACGCCAGGGCTCTCATGTGCCACAAGCGCTCCAAGCGCCGTCGCAAGCAGGCGGCCTTGCAGCAGCGCATGCGGCAGGGCGCCGCCATCGCCCTGCAGGAGGTCCATGGCTCGGAGGCGCTCCTCCGCACTTGGGTCGACACGCAGCCGTGCCCGTACAAGCTCTTCTTCTCCCAGTTCGTTGCGGCAGACGACGACGCGGCCTTCGCCGGCACGGGCGGCGTCGCTCTGCTCATACCGTGGCTCTCGCACGCGCAGCTCGAGCTCCTGCAACCCGCGCAGCTCCCTATTCTCAGCCACGGGGAGATCGTCAAAGGGCGCGCCCAGGCGGTCGCCATCACCAACGCCACCTCGCGCAACTCCATGGTCATCATGAACGTCCAGAATCACGAGATTGACGCGCGGGGGCGCGAGCGCATTCAGCGCTCATGGCATCAGCACCGCACGTGGGCGGAGGCCAACTACCAGCACCGCACCTTCCTCGCGCTGGGCGACTTTAACACGGCCAGCCGCCCGCCTAACAACTTCTTCCAACCTCAACCACAGCATGCACGCCTGGCACTGGACAGTAGCGCGCGGCAGCAGCAGCCCTTCTGGAAGGCCCTCTTCGACAGCATGCTCGAGATCGAGTCTGACCTGCCGACGCGCTTCAACAAGTCTGACTACTCCGCGTCGGCCATCGACAGGATCTTCATCAGCCTGCCGTCGCACGCGATGCTCGAGCTCACTTCCTGCGTCACCATCGCCCGCGACGCTGCCATCCTGTCGGATAGCCTCCTCTGCGACCACGCCATCGTCTCGTACTCCACCGGCATCAAGCCGAAGACGCCGATCGAGGAGCAGGCGATCCCGCCCGCGATCTTCCGCGACCCATCGTACGCCAAGTACCTCCAGCAGCTGCTAGATCACACCGTCACGCGCCGCAGGACGATCGAGAACCGCTGGCGCGCGCACAAGACCCTCATGGTCGAGGCCGCGCGGCTCGTCCGTGATGATCGGGTCAGCCGCGCTGCCGGCGAGATCGGCAAGTCAAACCACTCCGACGGCCAGGTGATCACGGCGCGCTCGATCTCGCGCGCGGTCTGGCGCCAGGACGTTCGCCTTGCACGACGTCTGCAGTCCACCAGTGAGCTTGGCGCCAAGTACCTCACCATCGACGACGGACACACCGCGCTCTCGGATGCGGCCGAGTTCGCCATGAAGTCTGCCGCGCTGCACCGTGACTTCGAGGCTCGGCAGCGCTCTCTGGCTCAGCGTGCAGCCCAGCTGCCG